CTCTCTGTATCTTTTTCAAAACCCAAAGTATATGATGGCCCATCTCTTTCTCTCTCTCGGTCCTAGCAACAAGAGATGGTCTCTTAGTTCAAAGAGTGCGTACTACTGTGTACACCTCTAAAACTCGCGTGCTCCATTGCTGTTCCTTGGGAATCCATATCTGCCTTTTTTTAAGAAAACCCATCTCTCTCTCTCTCTCTCTCTCTCTCTCTCTCTATGGGACACGATGCCTATAGAGTGAGGTATAGACCGACATTCTTTTCTGTTCCTACCGAATGCTTCTTAATTTGATCTGTGCCACTTCCTCCAATACCTTGAACTATGCCCAAAAACAAGCCAACACCATCAGTTCAAATAGAGATTGTTTCTATGTGTTTTAGACCAATTTTGGAGTTTATAATGGGAACAATAGCTAATCGTGATTGTGTCTGGCGCCGGTGCCAATGCCTATGCCGGTTTTGTGGGGGAAGAGAGAGAGAGACTTAGAGTTATTTTACAGATTGAGATTGATCCAAAATCACATAGTTGTATTAAAAACGGGGATAGTAAATCATATATTGATAATATAAAATACGATAGATTTTAATAAATATATTTGACAATCTTAAATAAGTTCATTCAATAATCACTAATATCTTTTTCAAAATCATTTACATTACACCGTATCTTCAGACACGAATTATTCTAACGGTTCAATACCGTTTATATTTTTTAAGTTTGGGATGTACAGTTATTACTTACTTTCCAAAATATCTTCATAGTCTCTATCCTCCGTCCTCTTAGATTTAGTTGAAAGCTACTCAAACCTTTATCCGAAGAGCAATGTTATAAAAGTTTTTATTTAGAGACTTAATGATGTGATTTTAATATAATTATTAAATTAATTATAAGTTTTAATGTTAGATGAAATCAATAATGAAGTCTATAACTAATTTAATAATTATAAATCATTAGATTTCTAAATAAGGTATTCAAATAAAGTCCAAATAACATTTCCTCAAATAAAGTCCAAATAACATTTCCTAAAAATGCAATTTTCCTTCAATCCAGCTTTAAATGCCAATTTTTTGCACCAGAGAATAGAGAAAACATTGACTACAAATGTCTTCTAACCTTGTTGTTTTAATATTTGCATGTATGCAAAAGATTTGGAAAGAAAAAAATAAGACATCCATTCCAATGTTATTTTCATGTTTGATCATGTTATCCAGAATATAAATTTAATCAGAATTGAATACTAATTACTGTTGTAAATCTATATCTATGTATATTGTTATATGCAACCTACTAATATAAAAAAAAAATGTATTTACTAAACAGAAATAAAACACTTACTTGAATGTAGAATAACAATTTATAAGAAAATAAGAAATCTAGAAAATTTTGAAATAAATTCGAGTTTGTGTATTCACAGTTTTCTTAAAACAAATATGCTCCTTTTTGGTGTTTAAGATTAATAAGCAACTCTCTCTTACGATAGAATAGATTTCGTTCTTGAAGATGTAACACTTCAATCTTCGAAATTCCAACAAACACAACTTTGTGTTTTATACTTAAACCGTACAAAAATAATAATACAGTAATCTATAGAGAGAGAAAAAAGATTGAATGTAGGATTTGGAAAGTTTAGAAATTTTTTTAACAATTGAATAGCAGATTGACCTGGTTTACCATTTTCTTTTAAAAAAAATAAAAATTGCCTGAAGTTGTGTTTCATCTTCTCTAATAAAACCTTAACCTTCGACGAATATTAATGAGTCTTAACCAGTTTAGTAACATCTTTGTAAGAATCTTTCTTATTCAATGTGAAATTTGTACACAAAATTTTTCTCTATTATGTTTTCATTAATTTTTACTTAGTAATTAATCACCTATCGTGCATAAAGTAAATTGCAAATCTCATTTAAATTCACAATATATGTGATTGTAATTTGAATGGAAACTAATTTGTTGGATTATGATTAGTCTAAGAACACAGTTCTTCCTTATCAAATTAAACTTAAGCCATTGAACCCCGGCAAAAGCAGCCACATCAACCCTCATGTCTTCCACAAACTTCACACACTGAACGATAAGATCACCATCAGAAGGTCGCTTTTACTGCACCCAAAAGATTACATGGTCATGATCATCACCATTGGAACCCAGATTTTGCCCCAACATAACACCTAAGTTGGGACCAGGTAAACCGTTGATTGACGTGATCAAACCTATCATGTTCCCCATGCACGGTTCTGATCTGGTCCCTCATTCCCAACGCTATTAAATCAGAGCATCCCCCTTTTGATTTTGTGGTCCATCAACAGCAACACACGGTTACAGCCATGCACTTGTGCAGCACACAAGCCTCTATCTGGTTAAAGCAGGTAATCATGGTCATGCAGTCAAACAATCTTTTCACGTTGACGCCACTGTGACGTTTGACACTACAAGTTACGTAATCCGACGGCTATAATCCTATCAGATTATGGCGATCATGCAAAACCCTACAATCCCATCATTTCATTTATTTATTTCGCCACCCCTCTTTGTTTCTCCTAATGACACCTACGTCCCCCCTTTGTATTGTGGCCAAAGATTTGATCACCATTTTGATCACCAATAATGATATGTGTATTATCTTTATGCATCATTTTATAAGTATGATCACAACTTTTAAATATTTGCCGAATTCAATCCGACTTATTAATCTAATATTTTATGTAGAAGTGATGCATAAAATTGTATAAAAAGATGGTGCGTACAATATTATTGTTTGGGCACACAATTTAAACTTTGGTTCAACTCAATTTAAATTGTCGACATATTGGAGTTGAGATATCATATTCCCAAGCTTGAGTTGGATAGTCCAAAAATAAAATTTGAATTGAACACAAGTTCAATCCTAATTAAACTTTAGGTATGTAACTTATAATTACATGATTTTGTTATGAGATAGAAGTTATCCCTAAAAATCAACTTGTAAGGGAATAATGTCCAAGAATTTATATACATATGTATCTAATTTTATTTTTAATCGATGTAAAATCATAATATTCTATCATACTTCTTTATTTGACGTTTATAGTAGCCCACTCTATTGACTTTGACTTAACAGTAATTTTTTTGCGACTCCACTCATTTATCAATATTCAATGAGATAGAACTATGTTTATCTTAATCCAACGTATAAGTTTACCAAGTCATCTTAATAAAGCATATATCTATACCAAGTCAACTTAATTCAACCTATAGGTCGTTTCTTCTGTAATTCGACCATAGAGAGTCATAACTCATATTATATTTGATTTCATACTTGATGTGGTGATTAATTCGAATACCAATTATTATAAACTCGTGGGCATAACTTATCGTCAAATAACGACTTACAAGAAAATGGTACTCAATAATTTATATACATATATCTAAACATATTTTTAACCCATGTATAATCATAGTAGATTCACACGTTAACTTGACTTAATTCTAAGGACGGAGCGCTACCATTGGGCTAGGGTGGCCACATGTCCCTCTCAAATTTTTTTTCTTCATATTTAGACATATATTTTTTGAAATAAAATTTAAACATATTTAATTGTGATCACCCTAATATTATGTTATAGTGATACCGATTTGAATAGACATCCTAACTAAATAATTGTTAACTTTTCGAATAATATTATTAAGACATAATTTAAAGATCTAATGTATTGTGATATTAAATCTAATAGTGAGTTTTAATATTTAATTAACTATATTATCTATCCAATGATCCCAAATCATTGGGTCTCCCCACCACCAATTAAATCTCAAAATAGATGCAATTAATATTATTTTTAACTTTTCACACGTTTCAAATGTCTACGAATATTATTTGAACATATTGAGATTATTTTATAATTTTTTTAAATTATAAGGTTATTTTATTATTGTATAAAAATATATGTCGTTATTAATAAACTATAGAATTGTAAATATATATAAGATTGTTACTACGATTTTATATATAAAAGAAATATTATTGATAAAATTGATTTGTAATTTTTTTAAATAATAAAAACATACTGATGATAATTAGTCGCATTCTTGATAAGAAATTTGAATTATTTTTTTAATCTTCTTTGTTTATTAAACTTTTAAATATCAAATATAATTTCAATAAATATGAATTTATGAACTTTTACGATTAATTAAAAAAAAATTAAAACATGCTAATGTGTCCAGGCTAAATTTTCTTTTTGACTCCACTCTTGCTTAATTTCAATGTTCAACACGAATATTTAAATATGAGTTGCACTCATATTCAATGATATACTTTAATAAATTTATCCAACGGTTTCAAATGGATTCATTCAACAATCACTAATAACTTTCTCAAAACTATTTATATGCATTGTATTTTCAGACACGAATTATTCGTAATTGATTGACTTAAAATTTGATACAAATAGAGTTGGATTATGAGTTTTATAACGTAAGTTAAATTCAAATGAGCAATGCTACATGAATTTAAAAAATAGACTTAAAAATTAGACTTGATAATCTCAATCATTATTTTACTATAGGTTCTAATATTTATTGGGGTTCACTACCTCTTCAATGATTAAAATTATTAAGTCTAATTTTTAAATCTATTTTTTAAATTCACGTTACATTACTCGATTCAAATACAATTCGAAGGGATCGGTCGTGACCACATCTACAAAAATTGCAAAGGACGGTCTAGATTTGTCATTCAAGAGGAGTATATCCCTCTTGCTATGCCAGGAGGAGCATGTAAATAAACATAATCTATGGCAGATTGTGGTCGCATCGAATTTGACAGGGATGCCTTTAATTCTCGAGAAGATTTGTTTTCCCCCATGAAGTCATTATAAAATCAATTAATAAACTATTAGTTTCTTTGGATGTATAAATTCTGAAACTGCGAGATCATCACTCTCCATTATTGTCTGTCTCTCCATACTTCACTGTCTTCAACCTTTTACTCCCTTTGAGAAATAGCACATAACCAAACACAAATGAATAACCACTTCCAAATGCTGCAAAACATTCCGTTACTGCATAAGCCAGACCTGTTTGATTCCGTTGAAACTTTACCTCTGCTGAATTATCCACTGACTCAGCTCTATTCTGAGCCTGTTTTCGGAACTTATGTCTCAATCCCCCCGGTTCCGAACCCTATTCCGGCAGACCCACCTTGCCAAAATCAAGTTTTAGCCGATGGTATTTCGGTTTTGGACGATAAACCAGGAAATCAACCTGTTCTTGAAGGACTTGCTGCCATTGTTGGTGAACATGTACTGTTTGGTGGTGGTGATGCTGAAAAAACTGCTTATAACTGCAAGAATGGTGGTACATCGGAGTGTGTTTCTGTTCCGCTGTGTGTTGGGTCTGAGAAATTGAAGAGAGAGAATGAAAACGGAAGTGTTGGTGGTGGAGGTGTTCCAGTGCAGAGGAGCTATAGAGGTGTGCGGAAGAGGCCGTGGGGGAGGTGGTCAGCGGAGATACGTGACCGTATAGGGCGGTGTCGCCACTGGCTAGGCACTTTTGACACCGCCGAGGAGGCGGCGCGTGCGTATGACTCTGCGGCGAGGAGGCTAAGGGGGTCCAAAGCTCGGACTAACTTCGAAATCCCTTCAGTGTTGCCTCTATCATCACCGATGATGACATCTTCTTCATGGGAAGTGAAGAAGTTTGGGAGAAGCAAGAACAAGCCGCTGAATAAGGGAAAGTGTGCAGTGGTAACCTCTGTCTCTCACCTCTTCAGTTCTTCTTTCAGTACATATCCTATCAGTGATGCCAAGGAGAGTGTTAATCTGGAGCTTGGCTTGAAGCTTGGCGGAACTTTGATCAAGGACAGAACCAGAGCATCAATGGCGGTTTCCTCTACTATATAATCACCAATTAATAATATATATATATATATATGTTGGGTTTACCTTTTACTTTCTTTTGAGCTTTTGGGTCCTAACTCTCTCTGTAAGTCTTGTTCTATACCAACAAGGGTTGTGTAATTAGGTCGATGCATTATATGCATATAGCATGCATGCAATTCCAAGTAGGGTTTTTGGTGTTTAGACTCCAGTCAGTTCTAGTAAAGCTCACTTATGTTTTGTTGAATCTCTCTTTCTCTCTCCATTGTTGTTTGGCTAATGAGCTTTGATGAAGGGCACGTAATACATACAGTATCATGCTCTTTCATGGACCTGTGGAAGTTGAATATGTTTTTAGAAAGAAACAATTTTTTTTGAGAGATGTGTTTCCACGGCCATCAATTTGCTCCCTCGTTGGCATTTCATGCAAGTGGTATCCTGGATTAACACAATGTTGTGGTTCAAAATAGATGCCATATAAGTACAAGACTAAAGAGAAACAGTGAGAAAGTACTGTACTTTGGATGACCTTTAGTGGTCTGAAAAGTTGCCCATGAAAGGTGGGTAAGAGAAGAGAGAGAGAGAGAGTCCTTGCATACAAGGCTACTGACTAATTCGTACAGAATATTGATTCTGCAGCGTATCTGTATCGTCTTCGAATTGATGCATAAATACTTCATTAGGATTGAGTAATGACGCCATTTGTTTAAGAAGATTTGCTACCTCATCTTGCAGTTGTGAAAGCAAGCAAATCATTTCGCTCTTATTACACAGCCACATGCGTCACTACCTGTCTAACATTACTTGTAATTGTAGTTGTACTTTGACAATATGATACGAAACGCTTTGATGCCAATATGTAATCAAAGACATTTGTATTGATTCTCTCTCCGATGATCCATGTATATGTAGCCGGAATATTGGGATGATCCGATGGACCTCCGGTGACAGATGTTGGCTAGCTACATGCTAAAGAACTGGTCAGAATTGGAAATATAAAGCCTGTTTAATTTCCGATTCAAAAAATAATTTTTGAAAATAATTTTTGAGAATAATTTTAATAAAATAATTTTAATATTTTTTGAGATAAAAAAGTTGATTGGTTAGATGATTTCAAAAATAATTTTATAATACAGAAAAAAATAAAATCTATTATATATATATACCATGTCTTTCTTTCTTTATATCTCAGGATGAATGTTACAGTAAAATTTGCTAGGATAAATTTTAAAAATTATCTAAATTCTTTTGATAAATCAGAAATTTCATCAAGTTATAACACACCTATAACCCTTTATACCTTTAAGAAAATCTATTTCTTCGGTCCAACATAGAAGAAGAGATATGGAACCCATAATTGAAAGAATTAAAATTCCCAAAATAATATTTCATATGGTATCTATCGACCTGTTAATACATCTTCTCAAGAAAAAGACTTTGATAAAGATTTTGATTTGATCCCATCCGAAATCGGATTTCAATTATAGTCTTTATGGAGTTATAGTCAAGAGAATTCCAAATGATAAAGAAAATCTGTAATAAAAATTTTTATCTTCCTCAATATGAAGAATTCAAAAATTGGTATTTTAAAACTATGAGTTCAGAATAACTCCAAAATTATAAAAAAATATTTCTCCTTTATATAAAAAGGGAAAGAAGGATAATTCATTTTTTTAATTGATTTTTAACTAATTATGTTCCTCTTACTATTAAACATTTAAATGTTATAGAAATTTTCCAACATAAATGGGAAACACTTGACGGAAAAATTATGAATAGTTTTTATCCTCCAACAACTGAACTGATAAAATTACATTTGAATAACTTTGAAGAAATTTTTATAAATGCTTGTTATACAAGCAACACTGTTTCTATTAAACAAAATAATTATACCAATGTTTGTCTCCAAGTTATAGGTCAACATATCAGAACAATCTGAAGAACAAAAGGTGAAGAACAATCTGAAACTAAATTCAACAATGAAGATTCTTTACACCAAATATAGTCCGAAGAAATAAAATAAAATTGAACTATATAAACCAAAAACTAATCATTATTAGCAGGAGCCTCCTTTAAGAGCTTATTATCAAAGATCTACTTCTCAAGATATTTTATATAAAGAAAGATTTTTAATTGATCAAAGTGGATATGATGCCTCTTCAATTTATGAATGGAATATTGATGATATGTCTGAATATTTAATTCACCAAATTTTACATAAAATTTTAATGTATGTTTTAATATGTAAAGTTAATCGGAATATTGATCATGTTACTGCTAAATTTATAATCACCGGTTTCACAGGCCAACTAAGAGGAAGGTGAGATAACTATTTAACTCCAGTTCAACAAAATGAAATTTTAAATGTAGTCAAGGTTGCAATAGCAAAAAATAAAACCATAATTACTCAAGAAGATGTTGTCTATACCTTAGTACAAACTATATTAAAACATTTTGTTGATTATAGTTTTCAAAACATTGATAAAAGTAAAGAATTTTTAATGAATTTAAGATGTCCTACCTTAACACATTTTAGGTGGTATAAAGATTTGTATTTGGCTAAAGTTTTGCTAAAATCAGATGCTAATAATGAATTTTGGAAAGAAAAATTTATTTCAGGCTTGCCCGACATATTTGCTAACAAAATAAGAATTCGTTTAAAGCAAAAACATGAAAGATTTAAAATCCCTTATGAACATTATACCTATGGAGAAGTAGTTTTTGAATATATTTCGAAAGGTTTAGCTCTCTATAATGATTTAAATTTTAAAGCTCAACTTAAGAGACAAAGATTAACTAACAGAAAAAAACTTAAAGAATTTTGTGATCAACTTGCTTAGAATATTGATATCCCAAAAGATAAGGCTTCTAAAAAACCTTACACTAAGCCTTATAAAAAAGGTAGCAAATTCTATAAAAAGAGCAATGCTAAGGAACAATAAAAAACTAACAAACTCACTAAAAGGGTTAAAGAAAAGGACAAGAAACATTTTCTTAAATGTTTTAAGTGCGAAAAGGAATGTCATATTACTTTCAAATGTTCAACTAAACAACAGATAAATAAATTAATTAATGAGGAAGTCCTTAATAGAAATTAAAAGGACATGAGTGATGACCCACTTCATATAAAAAAAGTTTTGTCTACTACAGTTCAAGACTTAAAACAAGAAATTCATAATGTCAAAGAAGACATAAAAGTCTTAAAGTCTAAACTATTAGCCTTAGAAAAAATGTCATCTAGAGAAAGTGACATACAAGATGTTATAGCAGCACCATCTAAAATCTAATGATAAAACATCACCAAATGAATACATAAATATATTATAAAAATAACTTATCAAAAATAGTATGTTAAAATTATCCTAGTTATAAATTCTGAATTTACTATTGAAACTATCGCTCTAATTGACAGTAGAGCAGATATGAACTGCATAAAGGTAGAATTAATTCCAACTAAATATTTTGAAAAAACTACTCAATTAATAAGTATTGCTGATGGGTTAAAATTAAATATAAATTTTAATCTCTCTAATATTTTTGTATGTAATCAAAGAATTTACATTCCTACTACTTTTATGCTTATTAATAATTTAAATCAATTGGTGATTTCAGGAATACCATTTTTATCTTTAATCAAACCTATAGAAAGAATCGATTCTAAAGGTATTTTAATTATCATAAATGGTCAATAGATATTATTTGAATTTATAACTCCACCTTAAGTAAAATTGAAAAATCAAATTAAAAAAATCTAATTTATAAAGAAAATCAATTAAAATTTTCATCCTCTTCTAACATATTAAAAAGTGATGTTCATTTTGCAGGAAAAATCCAAGAAATTACAAAAATGAGTCATAGCTCAGATTCATTCTCTTTGGATCTTATTGCCACATCACCTGAACTTCTTGACTGTTTTGGTGATTATGCAGGAGAAGATGTTTTTAGCTTTTCTTCCACCTAGAATACTAATAATTGCAAGGTTTCACTTTGGTGTCTCTATTGTAATGTTATGAAAAATCAATTAATTGATCATATACCTATTTTTTTATTAAGAATTGCAAGACGTCAAAAAGAATCTTTAAAAATAGGATTAAAGTTTCATCTTATTCTTGAAATTAATGACTGACATTATGATTGACACTATAAACAATGTTTGGAGACTATAGTCCCAGAAGAATTTGCCAATAAATGATAAATAAACTTGGTGGTATAACTGTTACAACCTCAGTTCTTGCATATAAAAATGCATATTATTCTGATGAATATAAAAATATTTTTTATGTATATAAAAATACATATTATTTTAATCCATATAATGATGCTCATTATTTTAATGCATATAAAAATATTTATTATTCTCCACTCTCTATAAAGACATCATCACATAAAGGTGTTATGGATGACAATCCGTCAAACTAACTTAAAGTTGTTCCATCTTTGTCAAATAAAGTTGACAATAAAGACAAGTTGTCAGGAGATAAATCTCTCTCTATTATTCAAAGATCTTTGACTTTGTCTTCATGTATGAAGTTTAATTTTTCATTTTTCTTTAAAATTATTGAAAGGATATATCCTTATGATATTAATGATCTCAGACCAATCAGGGATATTAATGATCCCAAAAAATATTTAGTCCAATTTTTAAAAAATTACTCGCTTGAGTTTAAAAGTAAAATCATAGCAGAATGTCTTAAAGACATTAATAAAAAAGAAAATACATTTTCAAATGATAAAGTTTCATCTTCTATATCAATGGTTCTCTCTATCAGTATAAATACTAGAACTAATTTCAATCCTGTTGAAGTTCTTAAAGAATTAATTAAAAAAGACAAATCCCATTTAAATCCTGAGTACCTTAAAACAACAGTTATGGAGGAATTTGGTTTTCAAATTATGTCTACTTTTGGCATGAACAAAACAGAAAAGATGCATCTCATTAACCCTCCTACAGTTGTCATAAAAGGCAAATGTAAAGATAAAGTTAAGAAATACAATAGAAAATCTCTCATTCCTATTTATTCTAA